CTGATTTAGATCTTAAGGGTTATGTGAAGTTGTCTCAACCACTACACTTGCGTGTTTGTTATCATTGTAAGGTTTATTGATTTTGAAAATTTAGAGTATGCATACTTTGATTTGATTTGGTTTGATTCAATGTACTAGGTCATAGGTCATAGAGAACTAATGTTGCATGATTTCTTTAGCTAGAAGTTGTCTGGAGCGTGAAGTCATTTTGAATAGCTGTCACTCTCATTCCGAATTAAATATTGTATCAGTTGTGAAGAGTAAAGAAAACGTGCATCAACATTTGTATTGTCTTTTTCAATTCTCTTGTGCTGCCATATTGCTTTTATGTCCTTGCTAGTAATAAAAGGTGGAGGGAAGGTATAGAATTCTGTCTGTCCTTGAAGTCATCGTTGTCGTCGTCAACAATTCTTGTTATTGCAATTTTCCATTTTTAGTTTTATTACCATGTTTCATTAGTTCTAGCATATGTATAAAGTGTATATATATTTTTTTCCAAATTTTAATATATTACTTTTATTTACAGGGGCTGAAGCCGGTGCTGGGTTTGACTCAAAAGGTATCGGACTACGTGCACAGAAAAAAATTCTTGGGAAAATGTCCACAAAGAGAATGGCGAAGGTTTTCATAGATGATTCCACGGGTGAACTCTTGGATTACTTGTACAAACTGACTAAAGAGTATACTGGAAGTAAGAAAGAATCCGAAAAACTTATGAAAGACATAATTAAGATTGTTGTCAAGATAGGGATTCTATATCGCAATGACCAGTTCAACAAAGATGAACTTATTCTCGCTGAACGATTCCGAAAAAAATTCCGCTCCACAGTGATGTCAGTCATCAGCTTCTATGAGGTGGACTATAGCTTTGATCGGAACTATCTTGTGCGATCACTTAAAGAGAGCCGCGACATGTTAAATTCGCTGATTGATCGTCATTTAACAGATAAATCTCACGGACGTGTGGAACACGTTTTCAAGTTCTTCGCCGATGAGGAGTTTCTTGATACTTTGTTTGAATCTGACAGTCAACTACGCCAGCATTTGGTTCGGATTATCGCAGTGCTAAATAGAATGATTGATGAGGGGAGTATTTAATTATTTATGAAAACTATATCTCAGATTAATTAATTAATTAATATATTATGCAGACTGTATACCTGTTTTATAAACATATCCCATGTACAGTCATTTATTCAGAATTAACTGTATTTTAGATAGGACATTTTTACTAAACCAGAGCTTTACTAGTCATTTTTTTTTTCATATTTTTTAACTTTTTTTTGTCAAGGCAATGTGTAATATTTTTCAGTCTGTGGAACTACTTTTACAAGTTTGTCGTTTATTGAATTGTTTTGATTTAAATCAGGTCAGTGTTTGATTAACCGTGCATGTAACAATTTACGTCTGATTTGACACTACAAGTCTGTTGAGATGTTTTGTTTAGGAATGGACCATTATTTCTCGTAAGGGGTAGGATTTTTATAAAGACGTTTTGTCTCGTTTTCAGCAGCACTTTTCTTTCCCAGTGTTGTGCCCAGAGAGCATGTGCAGGTGGTTTGATCCCAGTGTGGATCGTTATCCTGTGTTTACGTTTTATTAGCACTATGTCTAGCTGCCATCACTGGTTTAAAATTCTGATTTCCACAGAAGGATGAGAAGTACCGGTAGTTTGTCAAATTATAGCCATATAAAGCAGTGTGTCACTTCCTTGGTTTACATATTGTCATTGAGAAAATTCTCCATTCCATCGAACACTATCTTCCCCTGCTAGGATGAGATCACTTCCATTAATGTGATGACAAATTTACTCACTGTTATAGAAAGATCTTCATCATTTGACCATAGATGGCACTGTTGCCTTCCTTCCTCAGTTTCCAGTTTGTACAGTGTCCATTGGTATTTTGTAATTACTTTACATGTACTCCGGGAATATTCATGCTTTGACTACATACAAAAAATTTGTTTCATGTCCTTTAAAAGTGAATGAATGTGATTTTTTTTGTTTGTTTTTTTTGGAACCATCACTCTTAAATCAACCCCAATAAATATGTGAACAGTTTTAGTCATGTTCTGCTTTACAATCAAAATCATAGATTTCAAGATATTTTTAAGATATATCAGAGCATGTGTCTCTTTAACTGATTGGTAGCGAGTCCATTAATGATATGCAAGAGTATTAATGCTACATGCAAACACACATATGTTTCCATGGTCTGGTTTTAGATATGATTCTGCTAAAGAAATTCAATTTTTTGAAATATGCACATGGATTTTACTGTGTTTTCCCTTGGTAAGGGTGTTTTTTTACTGTGTGATGTTCTGGGATTGGTTTTTTACTATGTGTTGTCCCTGGGTAAGGTAGTCTTTACTGTGTGTTGTCCCTGGGTAAGGTAGTCTTTACTGTGAGTTGTCCCTGGGTAAGGTAGTCTTTACTGTAAGTTGTCCCTGGGTAAGGTAGTCTTTACTGTAAGTTGTCCCTGGGTAAGGTAGTCTTTACTGTAAGTTGTCCCTGGGTAAGGTAGTCTTTACTGTAAGTTGTCCCTGGGTAAGGTAGTCTTTACTGTAAGTTGTCCCTGGGTAAGGTAGTCTTTACTGTGTTGTTAGTGGTTTTTAATGTTTCTGGGTTAACAGATGGGAACTGTTCTGCTTACACGTACAATGTATATTATGAAATAGTTGCATGCAATTTTTTTAGAGAATTTTATTGCATGAATTGACAGTATCCTAATTCAGCTAAAAGTTCAAACTATCTCATTATATATCCTTTCTGTTAAATAAGCTACATCTTGAATTAGCAAAATTACAAATTAACTAAAATAACATGCTAGCTAAAAAGTAATTCACAGTAATTAAGATGCATCTTTGTGTAGTATTTGCAAACGAATATCAGTATTAAATTTTATTTCTACTATCAAAAAAGTATAGTATAGTGTTTTTACTTATTGACATAATGTTGCATGATTTTATTTGACTATTGTTAGAGGCGCTAATAGAAAAATTGATTAGGACGATGTAGATCAAATACAAATTGAAACGAGTTATTCATTTTGTTCGTCACATATACTGTAAAATACTGATTTTCACTTGGAATTAATTTTCGTTATTTTCCCTGAAGGAATAATTTGGTGAAAATAAAATCCAGCGAATATACCTTTTTCCTATATGAAAATAAACTCCATACAAAACATCCAAAAAGGTTTTTTCAGCTAAAATAAAAATTTTACAGTATACATTTATTTAACACTGTTTGTATTTTGTATAGTTTTGATTCATTCAATGAGTGTTTAATACTTCATTATTTTTTTAAAGAAGCATGTAAATTAATCATTCTACTTTTGTTTCGTCACTTTGAGATTTGAGCTTATCAAAAAAGAGCTATGTTTCCTGTCATCACAGCCAATTATAGCAGGTTTTTCCCAAACTGTATGAATGATCAAGGGCTAATTTAATAGCGTATTTGAGCCGAATGTGTTTTGTCATATCACATGACTTTTATCTGTGCGCTATAAGATTTGTTAGTATTGTATATTTATTTATTAAGGTCATACTAGCATGTACATAACTTTCCAAGACTAACAGTTTAATACGATTTAACATATTTTGCTCCTCAATGTTTAAAGAATTGCTATCATTTGAGAGATATTTCAAATCAATGTTCATTTCAATTGTACTGCTCCTGTATTAAGGAAATACCTCCAAGAAGAATTGTTGAAAACTTATAATTGACTCATATTAGGTGGCCGTGGAAAAAATACTGGTACTTTGTAGATTCTACTGTGGGGATACATTCAAGGCAGAACACAAAAAGTTGAAGAGACTACAGAGAGGGAGCTGTATTGGGTAGATTTATGGTCTGAAACATTGACAATGAGCTTGGAGTCTTGAATTCCTGTTATCGATGGTAGTACCAATACTTCAAGTGCAATATCATCACATGTCATGTCACATACAAATGACAAGAACTGTAAAAGCTGCTTCATCATTTCTGACTTTGAGCAAGCCACGGAACAGCTATGGAGAATTTACAGTTTTTTTTTTAGCAGGGAGTTGATGATTTCCAGTAGATTTGTTACTCATTTGTTTTCAAACGATAAAATATTAATGGCGTGCAGTATTTTATATCAAAATTTTTTTTGGTGGATGTTTTATGAAATACCCTGTGGTGCTACTCCAACTCAAGTAATTCTTGTTTTGATTTGAAAGAGGTGTTGTGGTTTTATGCTATTGTAAAAATCTGCACACTGCATGATAAATTCATTGATATTCAAAAAAGTTCACAAAGACCTGTAGCAAACGGGAAAAAATGTTCGTTTGGTCCAAAATAATAAGAATGTTGCATTTTCCCCCAAATTTTGAATGTGCATGGTATACTCACATAAGAGGGGGGGGGGGCAAATTATTGCCTGTTTATTTTCCAGTGACCATGTTTTAATAACAGGTGAAGTTTTTTGGCCATAGACATACATATTTTTGGTATAACACATTTGATAGCCAGCCTAAGCAGCCAGATTATGAAGTACTGTACAGAAATCTCAAAATGGGAATTTTATTTAAATTTTGATGTGATCAAAAAAAAAAATAATCAAATTTAGTCTTACCAGCATGTCCGAACAATATGCAAGTTTATATTCCTGCCAATCTGATCTGTATTGCACAACACTGCAATTATAAATGAGCTAACCTAGGGAGAGTTCCACTTAACACACCTTTCCCGTTGTTGATTCTGGTACAACTGTGGGAGGTTTTTTAGCAGACAATGTACTAAAGGGCTGGGGGCACATCAAAAGACTGTTGATTGCCACTGGGAGAGCTCATTGGCTTGTGGAAAAATCACTCTTCATCAACACTTCTAGAAATTGGATCATATTTTTTATTATTGTATTTCTGTCATTTCATGTGTTGCTGTTTCTTGGTTATCCAAATATGAGCTAGGTTATGTATAGAGGACAAAAAACATAAAAATCTGGGGGGGGGGGGGGTGTTGCCATGATGATTTGAAGAGGTTTGTTTTTACTATTGGTTTCTATGATTAACTACACTGTAATAAAAGAAATCATGTATAGTAACTAACAGACTTTTTGTTGTACTTTCTTGTCATGCATTCTATATAAATAGAATTTCAACATAATGCAACACAACTATACACTCAATACGAGTTTGTACATTATTCATGCCCAAGACAAATTAATTCGATGAAAAAGAAAGATGGCGGCAAATCTCATCACAAATTGTTATGAAGATGTATGCAAATCAATGGTCATGTGACCAGGTAAATTGTTTCTAAATGAATTTACAGTATATGATCAACATGACTTGCAGTCTAATATATTGTCACAAACTTTATACCTGTATTTGTTATTTCTTGCATCTTTGTATCCAGACTTGACTAAAGTGCACATCTCCAGTATCGAAAGTGTGTATCAACTTATTTGTTATGGCTTACCCAATGTTTTCATGATGGGGGAAATTAAGGTACTTTGCAATTTAATGAGAAGTCTAACATGAACATGTACAAAAAATTACGAGACTGTACATGGTTCTCTTTGAGAGTACCTGGTAGTACGGCAAAAAGGTTACTAGCAGTAGACTATCTTTGATCCAATCATAAAACGAATCATCATGCATCATCTGAAATGACAACAGTGACAAAACATCAAATACATGAGGTATGTACAATACCCGACAATCAGACCAGTTTTGAGACGAACAGATGAAGATGCCATTTGACACCGAATTTGTAACAGATTTAGAGACTCTCGGATGCCACGAAACCAACACATAGAATTCTTTAGAGTCTTCGGTAAATAACAATTAAATCCTGCTTTATTGATTATATACATTGAAGACAAACCAACGAATAATTACACAAAACCCAAACATATGCTCACCAATGAGTGTTAATCAAAGTGCCTTTACTGTTGAAGATTACCAAATGTACATGCACATTAGTAAAACTAAAATAAACTATTTCAAAAATTAAAAAATATAATATAAATTAAAAACTAAATACTATTTGAAATGTTATAATTTGAGCCCAGAGTCTGTATTTTGACCCCCCCCCCCTAGTATGCATATAATACAAGGGAAATCATAAACCTGTGATAACATATAAAATAACTTTCCATGGCTGGAACATCATTAATTAAAACAAAGTTGAAGTCTGAAAAATAAATAAACAAGCCATGCATGGCACAATCCCTGTTTATCAAATTTAAAATACAAAAATGTATATAGTTTTGTTTATAGTAATACAATCAGCCAAAATGACTTTTATCAAGGACCCATAAAGTCTAATTTATG